AAAAAAAGATATATACTTCACTGGGAACTCTATAACATTCGTCTTAGAACATTGTGCTGACTCTGTAAGCCCTAACACCCTTGCTGCCAATGCCACATTCACCAAATCACGCCTTCTTAAAGTAAAATCTTAATATGGGCTACTCTGTCAATGTGACATTTTCATTAGTTCTATTATTTTTGAACAGTATCTCAGGACTATAAAAAAACATCCTGAAAGGTGGTCTCTGCCTGTTAGCTCATGACTGTGCGAGGACAACATGTTTTTGATTATGACATTATGTCACTGAATGTAGTCATGAAATATGTGTCCTTACTACACACACAGACACAATTTTGTCCTTTGTATTTTGTTATATGCCTCTGCGATATGAGCAAAAAGAGCTGGGTTCATAATATCAAAGAAGCACAATTGGGTCACCTTTGTCACAGACTAAAAAAAACCCAAAAGGCATAAGACTGGATTTAGAACGTGCTTAAAACAAATTCCAGAGCCTAACAATAAAGATGGTGACTCCTGCTGTTTCAAGTCCAGTGCCCCCGAGAGGCACAGATCACCCTGAAAGAGAAAGGAAATGCTGGCCTTCCAGCAACACTGAGGCTGACTCCAGTGGTCTTCACAGCAGAACCAAGTACAACAGAGGGGAGGACTGATTGGACCAATTCAGCCCTCCTTGAAACAAGGTAAGGAAGATAACTTAACTTTATAGCACTTTCCCTGCGAAGCACTGAAGGGCATACCATTAAGGCAACTGATTACAGTTCAAAAGGAAACCGGGTCGTCTGAGTCTTTATTAAAGATTATTCATTTCTTGCATGAGGAGCTGCCCCGGCTATGGCTGCACATCACTTGCGTGGGCCTCCTGGATTCTTCAAACGCCGTGTGTGTCTGATGAGCAGGGAAACAACATTGTTCTCGCTTGAGTAGAGAAACTGACCTTCACTGACCAGAATCTTTATTCATACAAACAATGCTTTGGGCACACCAAATTTCCAGGCTCACATGATCCCCCCACACCAAACTACAGTGTTAGTTCATGTGCAAAATCAAAAAGTCTGTCTGAGCTCAGGTACCACTTTGGTTATTAACAGATAATGTTGGAGCTTCTTCACAAAAGTATAATGTAAATTTAATGCCCAGCTGACATTAACCAAACACTATTACACAGCTCTCACTGAACCTGTATCCCATAACGAAAGGCTCAAGTCTTCCGTTTAGTCATGTATGCAACATGAGAAGTTAAGTACACTTCACATTCATTGCCATCTAAGTATAACGTTTCTATTTTTATCCAAATGACTAGAAACACAGACACACTCCCCACCTGTTTTGGGAACAAAACCCTTATTTTAGATTACCAACAGTTTATTTAATAAGGTGAGGTTGGTTTTAGGGGACTCATCTGGGTCACCGGGCTTAAGCCAGGGATAGGGAAAACTGACGCCTCCCCAGTGCTCCTCTGCTTTTGGTCAGTCAGCTGTGTCCAAACCTTCCGTCCTTCCTGACAAACGGGACCCTAGCCTGGGATCTTGGGTGCAAGGGCAAGAGAGAAATTGACCCTTGTGGAGCCATGAGTGACAAGGAGAGGCACTGAATGGGGACAAACCGCAACTGAAAACTGAGCAGATACCTTGAGATGTCAATTCCAAGGGACTAAGCTGGGGTAGAAGGAGGCTACAGAACAGAAACAGGGAGTAGCGGGTAGAAGGCCCAACCCAGAGTGGGGCCCTGACTCCCTGGCAGGGGTGGGATCGCAGGCGCTTTTCTAGAGCCTCAGCCCCAGCAGTCAGGC